CTCCTCTAGATGCCATTTGGGGGTATAAAATTCATTGGAAAATTGCACCCCAAGTGCTGCAAAAACACTGTACGCCTTAAGACTTTTTCTATATGTGCTATGAAGCAATAATTACATTATGCCCATTAAAAAAAGAAAAGAAAAGATGGGAGTCAGGGAGAGAGTGAAATATGTTCATGCATTTGGAAGCAAGAAACATAAATGGGTCTGCTTATCAAAAGGCAAACAGTGTTCCACTGAACTATAGCACAGAAGCCCATTTTATTTATTTATTTATTTATTTACTTATTTTTCAAACTTATATGCCGCCACTCCCCTGGGGCTCGGAGCGGCTTACAAGAACAGGCTAAAATCTAACACAACTGAAAAACAATTTAAAACAATTTAAAAACAGCAATATCAAAGATCAAAGGCCTGTCGAAACAAATATGTCTTACATGCCCTGCGGAAAGCTGGTAAGTCCCGCAGGGCACGAACTTCAGGTGGCAGAGCATTCCAGACTGATGGCGCCACTGCTGTGAAGGCTCTGCGTCTGGTTGCCGCTAGACGCAAGGTCTTGACACTGGGGACCTCCAATAGATCTTGGTCCTCAGAACGGAGGGATCTCTGGGGTTGGTAGGGGGTGAGACGATCCCTCAGATACATTGGCCCCAGACCATGCAAGGCCTTAAAGGTGAGTACCATCCTTTGAAAGTGATCCGGTGCTCAATTGGTAACCAATGCAGCTGTAGTAAGATTGGTGTTATGTGGCATCTCATCGGAATTCCCGCAAGAAGCCGAGCAGCTGCATTTTGTACCAACTTGAGCTTCCGGATCACCGACAGAGGAAGGCCAATGTAGAGGGCGTTACAGTAGTCCAGTCTTGAGATGACCGTGGCCTGGATCACCGTAGCTAGGTCGTCCCTGGACAGGTAGGGGGCCAGCCGTCTAGCCTGCCGCAGGTGAAAGAAGGCGGTTCTGCTCACGGCGGAGACCTGGGCCTCCATTGTCAGCAGAGGGTCCAAAAGGACTCCCAGACTCTTTACCAATGATGACGGGCGTAACGCCTCACCATCCAGGGTGGGCAGATGGATGTCCCCACTGCCGGTCCACCCAGCCATAGGATCTCCGTCTTTGCTGGATTCACCCTCAACCTGCTGGCACGCAGCCATCCAGTCACGGCCTCGAGGCACTGATGGAAACAATCGGGTGCAGAGTCCGGTCGGCCTTCCATCTTCAGCACCAGCTGAGTGTCATCGGCATACTGATAACACTCAAGCCCAAAACCTCGAACCAGCTGAGCAAGTGGTCGCATATAGATGTTAAACAACAGAGGGGAGAGAATGGCCCCCTGAGGAACTCCACAATATAGAGGGGACCTCTCAGAGACCAGGCCTCCCCTCTCCACTCGCTGTCCACGGTTGTGAAGAAAGGAGGACAGCCAGTTTAAAGCTGTCCCCCTGATTCCAGCAACAGCAAGGCGGTGGGTCAAGAGATTGTGGTCGACTGTGTCAAATGCTGCTGTGAGATCCAATAGCACAAGCAGCGCTGACCCGCCCTGGTCAAGCTGGCATCGAAGGTGATCCGTGATGGAGACCAGCACAGTCTCTGTCCCGTGCCCCACACGGAAGCCAGACTGGAAGGGATCTAGTCCGGCTGTGTCGTCTAGGAATTGCTGCAACTGCTCCGCTGCTGCCCTCTCAATCACCTTGCCCAGGAACGAGAGATTTGAAACTGGGCGGTAACTGGAGGGAACCGAGGGATCTAAATCTGGTTTCTTCAGCAAAGGAGAGACCACCGCCTCTTTTAAACCCTCTGGAAAGACTCCTTGCTCAAGGGAGCTGTTTATGATCTTCAACAGAGGGTCACGTAATCCCTCCAAGCAGGATTTCACCAACCAAGAGGGACACGGATCGAGGGAGCAAGTGGTCGGTCTAGCTGCAGCTATGAACCTATCGACAGCCCCTGCATCCAGCGGGATGAACCAGTCGAGGATGGGCCCAGCAAGTGGCCACGGAGTCTCAAGTTCTCTCACTGTATCAATTGTGGCGGGGAGGTCCCGGCGAAGTAGCGAGATCTTGTCTGCAAAATAGCTCTTTTAACCTGATTGCAGGAATTTTTGATTTTGAGTGGGAAACACGTGATCTGGCAATCCAATGTACCTTAACTTCTAAAGCTCTGCAGAATTTGCCAACTCAGGGAATGAAAAACATTTATTCTGCTATTGAATGGCAGAGGGTAATAATTCTGGCCCCAAGCAAATCAAACATCTGTGTGATGGTTAAATCTTAAAAGAGGCATTCACCTTAAGCCTGAATTTAAATCAAGGTATCTGGCCTAGTTCTCAAAGACAATGACATGTGATAGCCAGTCACATGTATTTTCTCTCTATGGGGCTGTATTCTTTTACACACACAATTCTCTCACTCTAGGCATTATTCTTTTGTTCTTCATTCCCCACCACCAAGGTTTTATGCTTCCAAACAACTGTGAGGTGACTGGGAAGGCGGACATAAAAGGTACATACAAAGTTGAACATTCCTTATCTGGACATCTATAATCCAAAAACTTTTTGCTGTCTGCTTCTGCTTTCAAGATGGTGGCAGTCGTACTCCTCAATCCAAAATCTAAACACTTCTGGTCCCAAATATCTTGGATAAGGGATACCCTACATATATTAGTGTTCACATATTTTTCGTTTCTGTAGATGAGCAATGCTTGCTAAGGCACAGAGGAAGCAACGGAGTCACATTGTCAGTCCCTGAAGATGCTGTTGCAAGTGAGATTTACCCAGATTGAAAAAGCTATCCATATTGGAGCATAGCAGCACACCCAATTACCTGGGAGTTACCCCGGACCATTCTCTGACCTACACGAAAGTGGGCACTAGAAACAATATCATACAAAAATTGACTGACACAACCTGGGGATCATAACCAGATACAGTGAAGACATTTGCCCTTGCGCTTTGCTACTCTGCTGCTGAATGTGCATGCCCAGGTAGACATGGCTCTTAATGAGACATGCCGCATTATCACAGGCTGCCTGCACCCTACACCACTGGAGCCAGTATTGCACCACTTGACATCCACTGGAAAGTAGCAGCCAATAATGAAAGTACCAAGGCATTGACATACCTGGCCCATCCTCTATTCGGATCTCAGCCAGCACATCAATGCCTTAAATCAAAAAATAGTTTTCTAAGATCTATAAATACTCACAGGAACACCTCAACAAGTGAGAGCCCAAAAGCAGCAGGCTAAAACCTGAAACCTGAATCCATGTGAGTTTGGAGAAGAGCAAACCACAGACCACCTATTACAATGCAGCCTGAGCCTTGCCACATGCACAATGAAGGACCTTCTTACAGAAACACCAGAGGAACTCCAAGTGGCCAGCTACTGCTCAAAGGGCATTTAGTATGATGCCAAGTTTTTTAAACTTTGTGTTTTTTTAAAAAAATACATTACAACTGTATTCTTGGTTCGCTTCTAATACGATAAATAAATAAATAAGAAATGACTCATTAGAAAAGATAATAATGCTTGATAAAGTGGAAGTCTGTAGGAAAGGTGGAAGAGCTGATTATAGGTTGATAGACTGAGCCAAGATACCCACAGCCTTGTGTTTTCAGTATCTGAGTAGGCGTGTTGATAACATGCTGACTTGGAAGTCTTTCATTTTTAGCATCACCGTATGTTGTAATCAACTCAGCACCAATGAAGAACAGCAAGATGTTATTATTGTTATTGTTATTGTTATTATCATTATCATTATCACCCCACCCTTTTCTCTCCACAAAGGAGACTTATAGCAGCTATACTCTGGAAGAGTGCAATGTTCTGTTTACAAATAGTAAATTCTTGCCTGACACTCCTAAACCAAAGGTAAGCAACTTACTGCTTCTCAGATGTTTTAAAGTAGCACTGCCAATAGTTAACAGCAACAATGAACTCGACTGTCTACCTAAGTTTTAAATCATGGTTGGGAAAGTACAGCTTGTGGGGTATATACTTCCCTGGAAAACCTACTTCTGCATCTAGTGTAGCCTTCAGGTAGTCCTCCAAGTCAAACAATTAAAAACAATCCTAGAAATATTTTGTCTTAAAATTGCCCCAAACAAAACAAAACAACTTGGAAATGCAAATAATGCCTTTGTTATGATGGAAAATTGGCCTCAAATTGTGATCAGAAATGATGTGACATCACTTCCAATTCACCACAAAGTGCCCATGTGGTCCACAGCTGTGGGGGAGGTTGGGAAAGGTAAAGGTATTATGCTACTTGGTTCTAAATGAACTTTATAGTTGTATGAATGTTCCAGCCTGACTTGGTGCTAAAGTTCAAGTCTTGGCAAAGCCAGGCAAGACTATATCTAGGTTTTGTCAACAAAGTGAAGTATGACAAAACAAGGTAAAGCCCAATATGCAAGCTAAAGCAACCTCAAGCAAAAAGAAAAGCAAGGATTCAGGATGGACAGCACCATAGGAAGTATATGTGAAAGATGCACAAGAACAAGGTTCAAATAATGCCAGGAATGAATCCTCCAGATGTTATTGAACCCCAGCTCACACTGTTTCATCACTGGTTATGTTGGCCCAGCAACATCTGGAGGGCCACAAGATGCCCACATGTGAGACCTCATTTGCACTGCTATATAATTAAATTGTATTGAACTGCATTATATAAGTCTACACTACCATATAATGCAATTCAATGCAGTTAAATTGCATGAAGCTGCATTGTATGGTGGTTTAGATGGGGCCTGAGATAAACCCAAATCAGTCCCTAACACTAATAGGCAGCTCAGGCAGGTTGGATTGGTCCACCTCCATTGAGGGGAGTTTCATCTGACAAGTTCAGCAGACATTGCTGCTGATGGATCATTGCTTATGCCTAACGTAGCTTTTGCAAACTACAGGGCAAAACGCCAGGAAAGTCCAAGGTTTCCCACAGCAGATAGAGAGAAAAAGCAAGTGAAACAAAAACAACCAAGAAAAAACATCACCCATTTTCTGTACCTTGTTTCTTGGACTTCGTTTTGGAGCTTCCCTTTCAACACTTGTCAGAATGACAGGCAGATTTTGCTTACAGCTGGCCTCCTATGAAGAGAGAAGATAGCCTATTAAGAAAAACAGGAGCATGGAAGGTTCCTTCACAAAGTATGGGTATTTTTTTCCTGGATTGCAGTTTAATTCTAGCAAGGAAGGATTGCCAACCAAATTTAACATTACTGGTGGTGCTGGTTATAGAACATGATACCGATGGTGAAATCTAAGAATCTGATAACAATGGTGGAAAGTTCGTTTTGGTGAAAGGAATCCTTTGTATCAGGAGTTAAGCACACACTTCTTAGACATTATCATTTTGTGTGGCTCTGAAAACCACTCCCAAAAGGTTTACTGCATTGTTGCCTTGTGTTTTCTGTTTGTGTCACTTTGTCAATTGTCTTTTGTTATTATAAATAAAAATGTATTAAAAGCAAAAGAAAATAATTTCTACATAGGTACTTAAAAATAAAAACAATATGCCATTTCCAAAAAATAACTTTCTTCATTTAATTTGATACACAATGGTGTTTTTTATCAGTGTTCTGAGTTCTTAAACGCTCTCTTCTATTGGTGTTGTGGATGACTTCTTGACTGTAAGTCTATTCAATAAAAACTAAAAATTCTGGTCTTTACAGCCACCATTTGGACATGTTCTACAAAACATATATACATTTATCTTGGGTTTATACAACACATTTTATTATTTTGGTAATTTACTGTTTTGATTGTCTCAGGAATTGAAGACAGAGAAAGCAATGGTTGCTCAGTGGAACATTTTGCAATTAAAAAGTTATTGACATTCCTAGTTTTGGGGTTCATTTTATATCAAGTCTGAGGTCATAAGAAAGAGCTGGGAGTGTTTGCCAAAGAGCCTGTCATCATGGCGTCAAACCATTGTTAAAGAAGTATAGCTGTGGCTTTGTACAATGCCAGAATGGTCAAAACACAATTCGCTATCAAAAGTAAGTCAGAACAGCAAAATACAATATTCTGCCAGTTTACAAAATATTTCTTGTTTTAGTCTGTTGCTCTATATACACAAGTGGTTGCAGCATAAAACATGGTGTACTGATTGCATATTTGGAAATCCAGAGCAACACCTGGACTAGACATTGTACCAGTTTTGTAACATGTTGGAATATATATCAATATATATTTGCTGCCTGTCAATACACATACCTAGCAAGAAATATTACACTGTGTTCCATAAAGTTCTAAGCCAGAAATGCAAATAATTCTGGCTTTTTGGCAACATGTTAGCACATGCCATCTAACTGATCCTGATTGATCCCTTCTGCAAACTTAAGTGTTGTTTCAGACCCAGAATCCTGGCTCTTTTTAGCTCTAACAAGCTGGGGCTTGATGTTCATTTACAGGTCCTAGTTTACAGGGTGGAAGGTTGGAAGCTACATTAAGCTCTTCTATCCTGGTAAGTTCCTAGTAGGCAAGGTATTGCTTTGGAGCCACATGTGGACCCATAAAGCTATTTTTGCAGCCTATAATCCCCTTCCCCCCATCCCCAGATTTCCCAAATCACAATTTGATGGCCCAAAGCAAGGGTGATTTTACTCTTCCGAAAAACTCTCTGGAAAAGTAAATTCACAATTTATTTAAGTCACAGGGCTTCAACTTTCCTACCTGGCATACAAATTACCAGTTTTTCAAATCCAGAAGTAACATATGGTCACTTCTGGCTAGAGGTTTTCTTGCAGATCCAGGGGCTTAAAATACAGCCCATCCATGTTTCAGCTTCTATTTGCAACAGGAGCTGTCAGGCAATGGGCATCAGCACATTTGTGAATACCAAGAATTTTTAGCCCTTCTCACTGGCTGTTCCATCTAAACACAACCAGGAATGCATTTCAGGCAGAGAGAAAAGATATTCATAGCTGCATATCATTGAAAACAGATTTCAAAGCGATGAGTCTGACTTGGCCAAGTTCAAAATTACAAGCCCATTCCTGGCAATCAAAAAAGATTCCAAAGGTAAAGAGTGACAAGGCTGGCAACCTTTCACCTACAATTGCTCACTTAATCCCTGGCCACATCATCATCAACATTATCATCATCATCATCATCATGGTTCTTTATACCACACTTTTTTCTCTCCGCACAGGAGACTCAACTGTCTCCAGTCTCTCTCTATCTTGTTTTATTTTTCCTTCCTGTAATTTTTAATCTGCTCAACTAACTGCAAAATGATCTGTAAGAAGAAAAAGTTCTCTTGAAGAGGAAGCATGGTTCAGAGAAACAACTGATTTCATTTCACATGCCCCATGTCACTCACACCACCTATGCTTACAATCTTAACACTGCTGGCATGAACTTTGGCCCAGCAGAAAATGAGTACATCCTAAGGTAGTTTAAGATCTTCTGGGGAGGCCCTGCTCTCAGCCCCACCTCTATCACAAGTGAGATTGGTGGGGACAAGGAGCAGGGCCTTCTCGGTGGTGGCCCCTCGCCTGTGGAATTCACTTCCCGGGGAAATTAGGTCATCAACATCCCTCCTCTCTTTTAGAAGGAAACTAAAAACATGGATATGAGGACCAGGCCTTTGGGTAATCTGGCAGACAGACAAAGGACAATGACGACTAGAATTGGATAGGATTTGACAATGCAGAATGAACTTACGGATTCTGAGCTTGGCGACCGTTGATTGGTTTTTATTAATGTTGATGTATAACTGGAATGTTTGAATTGTTTTATAATTGTTGTTGATATATGTTTTATCTTATTATCTGTTTTGCTGGCATCAAATTGTGCCTTTTGTAAGCCGCCCTGAGTCCCCCCTTGGGGGTTGAGAAGGGCGGGGTAGAAATGCGCGAAATAAATAAATAAATAAATAAAATAAGGTACATTTAGGCAACCTGATGAGCTTCAGGTGGTTTGAATGAGAATTCCCCTAATTTTCAGTCAGAATAGCTAACAGTCAGGATGCAGGTTATCTAGAATCCGGAACATCTAGTGGATAGCATTGTCCATCTTGCTTAGTCTATCACAGTAGTTCTCAATCTGTGGGTCCCCAGACGTTTTGGACTTCCACTTCCAGAAATCCTAACAGCTGGTAAAGTAACTGGGATTTCTTGTAGGCCAAAACCTGGGGACCCACAGGTTGAGAACCACTGGCCTTTTTGTAATTGTCTTTTATGTGTACTGTACACCGCCATGAGTCGCCCGTATGGGCTGAGAATGGCGGTTAATAAGTGCATCAAATAAATAAATAAATAAATAAATAAAATCAGCATCTTGGGTACCTGTTACTCCGAGGGTACTATTGTGCACATGTGGTGCTTTTTGTCATGGCCTTGGGCCCGTACAATAAATTATTTTGATTGATTGATATTTAAATAGCTGCCTTACACACAGCCTAAGGACAGAGCAGAATATTTAGTGATGACCCGTTATAGTACTTATTTTGCTTTTGACTTTTACTTGAGACTTCAAGATCCAAAAGCAAACAGATCAGCATTTTAAAAAGCCCCACTACTTCAAAAGTAGGACATTTAACAAACTCTGACAGTGACTTCTATTGTCCATTTATTCGAGTTTCTTACTTATCCTCTATTTAGATGGAAGAACTATCAGCACTGACAGGATAGGGAGGAAGGGCTGGAGAAATGCACAGCAGATGTGTCAGATTGCAGCTGTGTGTCTGTAGTAAATAGTGCAGTAAGTAAATACTATGTTAGGCAAGACTGTGATTCTAGCCTAGCTGACCCCTTGTGCCTGCCTATAATAGGCAAGGTAAACAGCAGCTGTTTCTAGAATATGAGATGGCATGCACAGCAAAACAAAGAGGTGGGGGAAAGCTGACAAGCCAGACTTAGCAGCTATCTGGAACATATTTAAAAAGTAGATCTATCAGTTTTGGCATCAAAATAGAAATCAGAAGAAATTTGGGGTGGCAGCAAAGAAAATCGTAGATGCATATTGGAAGAAGCTTTCAAATGGTGTCCAGTCGGTTCAAAATATTTCTATTTACTTATGCAAGTTTTATCTGCCTTGGCTGTTTCATTCCACATGTATGTGTTGATAGTTTTAAGTTTTAAAACATTGGGGAAACACGCTGAACTCCTCCTCTTTTTTTAGGATGCAGGAACCTATCTATATTTTCCATGCTATTCCTGTTTCTCGTGCCAGGAAAGATGTAAAGCCCCAAAACGTATCAACTTCATATGCTTGAACTAAGTTTCATACAATAATACTTCCCTGATATTTTCACATTAATGAAAAAAAGAGGGAGTGATAGGGATGAAGGAAGATTGTTTTGTGTAGGAAGATTGGATTAGAAAAAACTGCACAAACTCTTCCCCTCATGTAGTTATTCTGTTCAACAAATCTGCCCCATCTGATTCCCTGCCACCAAAAATAGAGTTAAAGGTTGAGTATCTACCATCTGAAACACTTGGGACTAGAAGTCTCTGGGATTTTGGGGTTGTTGTTTTTTTAAAAAAAATACTTGTATTTTAATATATGTACATAAAGAGATAGCCTGGAGATGGGACCCAAGTCTAAACAAAAAAAATCATTTAAGTTTTGTATATAATTTATGTACAAATTTTGAAGGTATCTAACAAAGGCTGTGTACAATAAAACACCAGAGAAAGCAGAGGTGTCACTATGTCAGATTTTGTTATCCATGGGAGACAGTGGTGGTCTGAAACAAAACCCCAGCTGAGTTTCTTGAAGTCAAACCAACCGATAACTTCCTTTGTACAGGCTGAACATCTCTCATCCAGAATTCCAAAAACCAAAACTGTCCACATGGATGCCCACATCCCGTTACATAACAACGATGTAATAAAATTGTGTTCCATATATTTTCATGCTTAGGATGGTTGAATCCATGGATGCAGAATCTATAGATACAAAAGTATGGCTTTTTTATATCATTTTTGTAGATCTTCTCATAGTGAGAAGCAAATTATTAATTCCTCCCTACTATCCATTGTACCTTATCTGCTGCATGCAACTACATCAGAAAGGAAATCTCAAAAGAAGAAAAAGGAATGATCTTTCTAGCACTCACTTTCACCAATATAATCTTTGACAATTCCTCACATGGGTGCACTTCATTTTCCTTCTTCGTGTGTTCCCACTCGAACAAGGCACTGTAGTTTTCCAGCATGTGAGCCATAATTTTGTTGCAGGTCTCTTGCTCCTTCATACCTTCAAAGCCAGGAGATACACTATACAAAAAAAAAGTCAAAAGTTGAGGGCATTAGAAAAAAAGACACACATAACTCTTAATGAGCTGTAATGAGATGACTGTGTGCTAGCCAAATAGGTCACCAGGGAATAGAAAGTGCCCTGGGAAGCACACTGTGGATTGTATCACAGGGCTTTGGTTGACGTTACTTTTCAATTTGCATGAGAAGTAGTGACCAATAATAGGCTTGGGGACATCCTCAAATACACCTGAAGGCAGCATTATAAGGAATATACAGATCTTGGAGAAGTTACTGGCTAGAGAATACTGGACACTGCAGAAAAGGAACTTCTGAAGTTCTGAGATGTTATTCTCTCTTTCAATGCATCTCTTATTCTTTCCTCTGGTTTTATTGAATGTTAAAAATACTAACTGCAATTTAGCACTGACTAGACTAGACGATGCTACTGTAGCCATGTGTGCCTGTATACAACAAGCAAAGAAAGGAACAGCAATCCTTTACAGCACATAAACAGCAAAACAAAGGGAAAAGTAGGAGAGCTCATAAATTTGCCTCACCTCTTAATCACAGATCTCTCTTTCCCCCCTATTTGGTATATATCTGACCATCAAAATGGAATCAGAAAACTAGAGTCATCCCTAGATGTATTTTGGGGTGGGCCTTCAAATGGTCTCTAGAAGGTTCAAAAACTTTATTTATGTAAAGCTTACTTCCTGTTACATTTCACATATTATTAATTTTGGCTAAAACCGAAACTAGCTGAACTGTTCAACCCCTGTTATTTCTATGTTATGTCTACCTCAAGCATTAAATTTTGTATGAATTTTAAAAAATAGAAGTATAAAATGTAAAGGTTTTCCCCTGACATTAAGTCCAGTCGTGTCCGATTCTAGGGGTTGGTGCTCATCTCCATTTCTAAGCCGAAGAGCCAGTGTTGTCCGTAAGACACCTCTAAGGTCAGGTGGCCGGCATGACTGCATGGAGCGCCCTTACCTTCCTGCCGGAGCAGTACCTATTGATCTACTCACATTTGCATGTTTTCAAACTGCTAGGTTGACAGAAGCTGACAGTGGAAGCTCACACCGCTCCCTGGATTCAAAGAGATGGAGTAAAAACTATGGTGAAGTGATCTGATTTGATAATCAGCCTGGTTTGTGGCTGGCTGAAAAATATAGTGTAAAGAGAGACTGGTGAAGATGACTTGCTCCAACTATGGTTTATGGGTTCTGTATGGACAAATCATTGTAAAAGTTTACTACTGTATTAAAACTCCAAAGGCGCCTGCTCTAGATGAAATGGAAAACTAAAGTAGGCAAACAAATCGAAGCAATAATTTTCCTGTATATTTGGAAACTCCAGCCATGGCTACAATTTTGAACAATGTTTAGCAAGATGCTTGAATTGCACTGAGGAAACCTAGAGTACTGCCTTATACCTGTAAATTGAGAAGAAAAATCCCAATGCAAGTGTGCATCAAATTCTAGGTTTAAACTATGGTTTAGCTTTTCCCCAAAGCTGAAGACTCAGATCAGAGAATAAATACCTGCTTTAGATACATTACAAATCTCAATCAATCAAAAACTTTATTTATTTCTTGCCACCTCTCCCTTTGAGGACTCAGGGCAACTAGCAACATGGAATAATAAACAAAGTACAATTACACAAAACACATTAAAACAATAAAACAAGGTTAAAAGCCACGAACAAAGTTAAAACATTGCATTAACATGTTGCATAGTACTTTGGATCCCAGCCCATCTGTTCACTCACACCCTCCAATCAACTAGTTTTTTTCTAAAAAAATTCTTTCAACGAATATTTTATCCCTTTCAGCCTTTTAGTTAACAGAAGTGGCTAAAAATCTAATCTCAAATGGGTCTCAATCACAGTCTAACAATTTCCTTGCTCATAAAGGCAATTTTCTTAATTAACACCATTTTAGTGACATCATTTGCCTTCTGTTTGAAATGAGGAACAGTTGCACCAGGCGCCTGCTCTAGTGGCAAGCCCCATGGGCACAGAGTCAGTGCACACTCATTTTCTTGGACTAAAACTCCCAGAGTTCCCCAAGCTAGCATAGCCACATTACGCTGGTTGGAGAGATTGTGTTGCCATGCTTTGAGTTGCCAAAAATATTGATTTTTTTCCCTATCATTTAATCATTACACTATGCCTACCCAGATAGTGTTGTGATTCCACATTTATTTCTATGGAGGCATCACAGAGAATCCTAAGGTTTAGAATTTCAGGTGGCACCAGAGCTCTCTGACTGGAAATTCCAATTACGGTCAGCCACTAAATTCACTATGAGAAAACAGTCCTCTAGAAATTTGTAGGTCCTCCAGCACAACTCTTTGGTCAACTTCTACTGGAAACGATCATAAAATCCTACCAAGGGACCTAGAGATTCCTGAATAGATGTTCTCTTTAGGAATTACTAGGTTATCTATGGTGGACTTCTTGAGGAAGTTGCAGTGGAGGACCTAGCAATTCCCAGAGAGAACATTTTAATCAAATCTGAAAATAACCTAATTTGCAAAAGTCAAAACCCACAAATTTGGAGCACCATTGTACATTTCTTCAAACTGCCAAGGTTTTATAGGATGGCTACATAGCAGTTCTGCATACCTTCATGATCATGCTGAAGTTTTTGTTGCACCCTTCTCAAGACACTATAAAAACATTGTTTTACAGGAAATTTTTCACAAATCCCAGATGCTCTGAGGTTGCTACCTTAAACATCCCATGGAGACTTTCACTACTTTGTACCTCCAAACATCTCCACAAAAAATCTCCTATTTTTCATCATGGGCAAAAACTATGGTTAAGTAAAAAATCATTTTGCAAGACAGAAAAATGCGGAGAACAAAGAACGGCTCTGGTCCACTTAGTAAAAAACAGGCTAAAAGCTCTCTGCTTCTATGGGAGCAATTCCAATCAAAACTAGAGACCATAAATATTGCTGGCACTGGCCTTGTCAATCTATTTTAAACCCAGCGTCTCACACAGTTTTCCAAGAAATGGAAGGAGGAATCTCGAAGTTTAAATCCTCTCCCTCTAGTCTGCAGAAAGAGTGGAAATGCAAGGAGAGTCAAGGAGGCTGGGAAGAGTCACGGAAGAAAATGCAGTTCATGCACTTTTCATCATTTCATATTATAAAATGTATCTGGGCCACAGAAACAACTACATTCCACATTTAAATAGACTGGCTCTGGCAATGAATGCATGCCTTACATCTAAGTGTATTGGCAAAGGAGTGTCAGCAACAGAGGTCCATCATTTGATAGATCTGATAGGCAGCCCAAAAAGGAAAAAACAAAACAAACACAAACAAAACAAAACCCACAGTCCTGAACAGAATGAATGCTGTCATTTCAATTGTATCTTCCGCTGAATTCTGATTGTGGTTCCTTCCATAATACATGCCAGGTCTTGTTTCTTTGCAACAACCTGGGTTTGCTCTATGGCCTTGCAGTTACATACACTCCCAATATTTCACAGATTAAAACTGAGACCCACATGGCTAGGCAACATCAAAATTTGGTCAACATGGTAAAAATTATTAATGAAGATGTGCACACAACTCTGGAAAGGATGCAGCGGTTTGCTTTTGCTGAGCCTATTGGGAAGGCCAAGGTCCTGCACCCCTTCTCTCCTCTTCCCCACAAAATAGACTTAGCTGAGTGTAAACCTTTTGTAAGATGAATTAAAATTACTATAACTGAAGTATCCTGAAGACCAAGGGGAAAAGTAGAAAGGGGAGGCATTTTAAAAGCAGCTAAAAAGGACTGTCTGTGCCAAATTGAGACAGTTTTATTATGTTTAAGGAGATGTGGGAATATCCAAGGTGGTGGCGGCAGTATGGACTTGGGGGGGGGGATAGTTTCCCCACCCTATTTTAAAGTATCCCCCCCCCCCAGAAAAACCAAAAAATTGACAAAACTATTGTAATACTTTATTTTAGAATGATGCACAAAATATTTAAAGCAATATACAGGTATTGTCAAAGGCTTTCATGGCCAGAATCACTGGGTTGTTGTAGGTTTTTTCAGGCTATATGCCTCTAGACCATGGCCATATAGCCCCAAAAAACCTACAACAACCCAATATACAGGTAGTTCAAGTTACAAGCAAGATAGGTCCTATAGGTTTGTTCTAAAGATTAATTTATTTGTAAATCAGAACAGGTACATTTTAAAGTATATATATCAAAGCTTCAAAGCATATATATATAAGTTTTGAAGGGTAAACACTCCTGTGGTGTTTGTTTCCCTGCTGTGCCCCATTCAGAAGATTCCACTTCACTTCCTGTCCCTGTGATAATTGGATTTCGAAAAATGTGGCTTATTATTGAAATAAGGATTGGTGATCATGCTTCAGTGGATACACCTTTCCCCATGATAATTCTTTCAGGAGTGAATTTCCCTCTCTAGGGGTAGATTTCTCTCACTTCCTGATGTCTCACCTCTGTTATTAAATATGAGTTGTTTGTAAGTTGGATGCTTGTAACTTGGCTGTATTCACCTGTTTTGTTGTAATGTGCCTTCCAGTAGTTTCTAACTTATGTTGACCCTAACTACACTGGCCCTTCTACACTATGCCAGTTAATGTTGCATTTTTCAGCCACACAGCCCCTTGCTAATAGGGGGTTGCCATACACCCACCCATTTTGATGCATTCTTGGTATGGGCAGGCATGGGGGGGGGGATATGGGGAGGAAGACACTGTCATCCCACCTTCCGGGGTTAGCCTGAGTCTAGGAAGCATGGGAAGGCTCTGGAGACTGCAATCGGTGGATTGCACATGTCAATTTTCCTAGAAGATACTGACCTTTGGTGGTGTTTTTTAATCTCATAGTTAACCAATTTAGGTTAAATTGTTTGGACAGTCCCCTCTACACTGCATTATCTGGCAGTGTAGGAGGGCCCAAAAGAGTTTTCTAGGGCTGGAGTGTGCGATTTGCCCTGGGTCACCCAGTAGGTTTTCATAACTGAGTGGAGATTTGAACCCTTGTTTCC